GATGCCGCGGGATCAGAGGGCAGGGGTCAGGAGGATGCCGCGGGATCAGAGGGCAGGGGGTCAGGAGGATGCCGTGGGACCAGAGGGCAGAGGTCAGGAGGATGCCACGGGATCAGAGGGCAGAGGTCAGGAGGATGCCGCGGGATCAGAGGGCAGGAGTCAGTCCCGTGGTTCCTGGGGAGCTGGTTCACCTTGTGAACCGTAGGACCTGGCAACAATAGGTAGCTGATCTGTATGACGTGTCTGGGGCGTCATCGCACCGAGTAGGGGGCCCACCTGTGCACACTTCCTAATGCTCACATTTTCTTCAGCACACCGAGTTCTAAGTCTGGCTGGCGTCGGTCTCTCCTGAGCCCGCAGCACCTTCCTGCAGCACCAAAGCCTCTCTTCAGGTGACAAGCCCGGGCAGGGACAGGCAGGACGGTGGCCCAGCCAGCAGACCGCGGATGAGCGCACTTGTGATTACGGGGAGTCGGTGGGGGTAACTGCATATTTCTCACCGCAGTCGCCAACCCCAGGCAGGGCCCGAGCACCGACCAGCAAGGCGAGCGTGGACACGCTTAGAAATCTGCAGGCAGCAGCTCTGTCTATAGGAAACCACCTCCGAGACCCCGCTTCCCTGTGGGCCGGCCTCGACCCCTCTGCCAGCCCCCCAGATCCTTCCTATGCCATCTCAGCGTTCGTTCACATTCCCAAACGCTGACCTGGCCGGAGTGCCCAGGCCGCAGGTCAGAGTGGCCCTCGGGCCTCACCTGCTCATCCGTGGTGAGCCGTTTCTCCTTTTTCTCAGCCATCCGAGTCTCCTGGCGGCCCAGGCTGACCTCTGCCTCTCTGCCCACCCCGTGGTGCCTTCCTGCTGAACTGAAGCCTCTTGTCAGCAGCCCCGACCCTGACAGGGCGTGGCGGGTACTGAACACGCAAACTCAAGGCCTTGCAGACCTCGCGCACTGGGCCCCTCAGCCCTTTCTGAATGAACCTGGCCTGAGCCATTTCTGGGGCTCTGAAGCTTGCCGGTGGGTGCAGGCCCAGATGAGGTCCATGTTCCTCTTTGCAGGGCACTGCCCAGCGCTCCTGCCTGCCCCCCAGTGTTTGCAGAAGAGCAGGGTGGACATAACCCAGGAGCGCCTGGCTGGAGTCTCACAGCTCAGCTCAGCCCAGCCCAGCGGAACCCCGACTGCCCAGAAGACAGTGACCTCACTGCTCCGGGGACAGTACAGCTGACCGCGTGTGCCCCTCAGCAGAGGCCGATGTGCCTGCATCTGTCATTTGGTAGAAGAAGGGAGAGGCCGGGGCTGGGCAGAGCCTCATGGGACTGGCCTGCCTGGCCTCCGTCCTGCCCGCGGGCTTGTCCACCACGCCTGAGAAGCCTCTGCTTTGGCCCCTGTGTGACGAAGCCAGCCCTCAGGCCGGTGCACACACACTGTTACATAAGTAACGTCTGCGCCCTGCTCTCTCCTCTCCCCCATCTGCTGCTACATCTCCATTCCTGAAATAACCACCCAGTGGCCCCCAGGGATCCTGGCCTCTCGCAGCCCACGCTCACGGGGTCTTCACAGACCCTGAGGTGTCCTGTCGAGAATCCGGGAGGATCTGGCCTGCCGTTCTCCTCATCTGCCCAAGCTGAGCACTATAAATAAAAGCTCAGCTGACGGGTAGCCAAGGCGCCTGGCTCAGCAGACGGCATGGAGGGAGACTCGTGAGTGGGAAGGCCTTTCCCGGGACGCTCCCTCTTTCCCGCTCACTGAAGATAGGATAGGAGGTGTTCCCCAGACACCAGGCTGACGTCCGCAGGGTGTGGGGCACAGGGAGTCGGGCCTCACTGGACCCTGATTGTGAGGCCCCCATGTCTGATGACAGAACAGAGAGGTGTGGGCGCGGCTGTGGCTCAGGGGGGCTGGGTGGAGCGCCACACCCACCTGGCCAGGTCTTTGCGAGGACATCCGAGGCCCATGTGTCACCCAGGCTTTGCCTGTCACCGGTGTTAGAGGTGTGCGTGGTGACAGGCGTGATGCTCAGTGAGCCAGAGGGAGCTGGGTAAATCCCACCTTTGTCCCCAGCTGTTTGTTCTCACCAGCCTCACGGAGGGCTGACTCGGGGAGCTGGGTAGAGGGACTGGCTGGGAAGCTAGCTACCTGGCTGACTGGCAGAGGGGCTGCCTGGGAGGCTGGCTGGGGGTGGGGGGACTGGTGGAGGGGCTGGCTGGAGGGTTGGCTGCGGCTGGGAGGCTTGCTAGAGGGTTGGCTAGGGCTGAGGGGCTGGGGTGCTGGCTGGAGGGTTAGCTGGAACTGAGGGGCTGGCTGGGAGGCTGGATAGGGGCCTGGCTGGGAGGCTGGCTGGAGGGCTGGCTAGGGGGCTGGTTGGAGGGCTGTCTGGGGCGCTGGCTGG